CAGCTGAGTGTGGACTGAAACCTCCAGTAACTGTGAGCTAAATAAACCTTTCCTTCCTTCATTTTGGGTACTGGGTATTTGTCCCAGCAACAAGAGAAGAGTAACTAAGACACAGGGTCTCAGTGAGTGGTAAGGCAGGCTGGAACTTGGTATCCTCCTGCATCAGCCTCCAGAGCACTAGGATGACTGGGATGCCCCACCACATGTGGCTCCATGTGTAGGGAGATTATATCCCTGAGTGCATGGCGGGCAGTGCCTGTTACGGGATGCACTCTTGGGGTCCATGGTACCCTCGACTCAGGGAGTCTCAGCCAGCAGTGATCCTGACCCAGGGGACGCTGAGTGAGGCCTGGGGACATTTGTGGCTGTCGTAGTGGGGGTAAGGGGAACTCCTTGTATAGTACGGGTGGGTAGAGGGCAGGGACACGGCTTAGCATCCGGAGGGGTCCAGGACACTCACCCCAGAGGACGACCCAGCCCCAATGGCCACAGTGCCCAGGGTGAAAAAGAAGACACCCTGCTCTAGGAGGAAACATCAAGAATGTTTGGAATGCATGGTACCGTGATGCTGAGGCAGAAAGAGCTCAAGTTCAAGCCCAGCCTGGGCAAATTAGCAAGATTCCCAAAATAGGATGAAAAGGTCTAGAGAAGTACCTCAGGGGTGAATGCCTATGGAGCCTGGGAGCCCGGTGCCTGCCTTGCAACCAAAATAAGGCAGGTGTGGGACGCATGCTTATAACCCCATCACTTTGGAAGCTGAGGCAGGGGTATTACCATGAGTTTGAGGTCATCCTGGGCTACATAGTGAGTTCAAGGCCAGCTTGGACTATGTAGTGAGACCCTGTCTCAAAGAAAAAAAAAAAAAAAAAAAAGCTGGGTGAGGACACCACATGGGTCATTTCCCGTTGCTCCCTGCTGGGTGACTTCTTACACAACAGTACTCACTAAAGCAGCACAGTACTCACTAAAGCAGTCAACCAGCATAGCACCCACTGTAGCCGTGAAGGCTACCTTTTTTTTTTTCTTTTTTTGCGGAACCAAGGATTGAACTCAGGCCCTATGCGCTTGCCAGGGAAGCGCTTATTCCACTGAGCCATCTCCCTGCCCCTCAGGAAGGCTATGCTGACAGGCCCACACCATCTCCATCCAGATGTAGGAAGCCTGCCTTTTACCAGTTTAGGATTCTTGTGCTCGCCCTAGCGACCCTAAGGCCAGGACTCTGTCCTTCCCCTCCTTCTGGGACACTGAGGGGACAGAAAGCAGATGCACTGAGAGGAATCTGCCTTGCTTGTGGGACCTTGCGCCCTCTAGGGACTGGGAGTTGCAGCACAGGACCCAAAGGGCACTGGTAGCCTGGGCTCAGCTCACAGGTGCTTGCTGGACCCCCAGCTGAGGCAGCTTTGTGAAGGACCAGTTGTCATCAAAGCTGCTTACCATGTCAAATTAAAAGCTGTGGCACTGTATGCTGAAATGGGCCCTGAGACTGCTTCTGTATCCCCTCATTTTTCACATCAAAATAGTAAAGCAAATAAAACATTTAAAAAGATCCAGGCGGGCCAGGGAGGTAGCTCAGTAGAATCGCTTGCCTGGCAAATGCAGGGTCCTGAGTTCAATCCCTGGTACTGCAAAAAAATAAAAAGAAAAATTAAAAAAAAATAAAATAAAAATAAAAAGATCCAGGCAAGGTCATGCAGGTCTGTCATACCAGCATTCTGGGAGGATGAGGTAGGAGGGCTGCAAATTGGAGCCCACCATGAACAGCACAGTGACTTAAGAGTCTATTTCTGGGGCTGGTGAGATGGCTCAGTGGTCTAAAGCACCTACTTAGAACAAGCTAAGCTAAGCAAAGCACGGGGAGCGCAGTTCAATCCCCCAGCACCACGCGCCAGCCAGCCCC